CCACCTACATTCTCCCTAGTTCGTTTTGACAGACGAAACATATTATTAGTCTTTAAAAATCCATGCCCGTTAGAAATATGCCACGAATTAAGAGAATATTTTGCGGTACGTCTGATTTATCTTACAGAACATCGGTATAGACAGGAGTCGTAAACGTCTGTGATTGGTAAACTTCGTTAGTCTGGCAACAGGACACATAATTATATGCATTTGTCTTCCTAGGATTTCATTTCGATAGAAGGTGGGTTTAAAAATAATTTTGAATATCCAGAAAATTTTATCTTTTTTTTTCTCTTCACTTTCTTACTTCTCTGTAATTTGGATCTCCGTCAAATCTGTGAAACATACCAAGTTAAAAGATTGTGAAAGGAGCATTTCACAGGCGGTCGTAGACCGCAGACATTTTTCAAATTAATTTGTAATGTATTTACAAATCTGTAAAGCGGTGACGTCTTAAATGAGTTTGAGTGTCCTTCCGTCCCTTGTAACAACGCTATAAAAAACGTTCACATTACTCTGACTCTCCAGTGTTGTCCACATTTCGATTAGTATTGCTTCAATAAGCATTTAGGGACGAACCGTAAGGATCTGCCGGTCTTGGGAGGATCTCCCGATCACAAGGATACAACCACAGTGGTTCGTGAACAGGGCGATGGCGTATTCAAATGTTGCCACAAACTTCAGTTTCTTGGCCCGGACAGCAATGAAAACGCCAAATGAATTGTTTCTTATTTCCGATACAAGCATAGGACTGTACTGCAAGCAACCGAACAAGTTGCCAGTAACCCAGTAGAAGATTAATTATTTGGGGATGCGGAGGCACTGAAGTATGAAACCACTGCAGTCAGTTCTTATTATGCAAACACGCGACGCGAGGCGTTCGGCCTACAAATTATTTTTGATGGCTGGCATTTCTGTTAATGTTGACTCTTCAAGTTCGAATACCAGAGAAGTGTTAAGTTAAATAACAGTTTAGTTTGTTAATGGATGTGATTTTTTAATAAACTGCACTGGTTACTCGTGATTCTTAACATGTTAAATCAAAATATTAGAGATAATTCTGAACTCACTTGAAGCTCACGTATTAGGTTTTCCATCTTTTACACCAGAATTAGATCATAATCGTTTATTTTTATGCCACATTTATCTGATCGATAGAATCTTATTCATAAAAGAACTTGTTGCACCACGGTAAGGTGAGGTTCGATGCTGGCGTTGGAGAGGCTGTGTTGTGCGTTCGGGAAAGTTAACGGACTATCCTTCTCGAGGTGTTCCGTGATTTTTATTATTCCCTCCAGGAGGAAATACGACTTTCAAATAAACTACGGCTTCCTTCTTAAAAATTTCTACATACTGAAAATTTATAATAACATTTCATTGCAAGTTATTCCTTGATTCTGTCCGCAAAACCTGTAAGTTAGGAAATGTACCGCTTTCGAATTAATTCGCCATTAATCATATTGTCATTAGATGCCTCACTGTCTGTTAGTCTGAGATACTGCCAGCGTCGTTAAATAAACCACAAATAAAAACTCAAGATTAATTTTATATGACGAATTATGATACTTATAAGGCTCTGGTCTATGTTTGTAATTAACGGATTGTATAAAAAGAACGATCGAGAACACTTCTTATCTGTCCTGTGCTTGCAGGATCTCCTCCTGTTAGTGTCTTCTGATAGAACGTTCCACAGACAGAAACGTATTTGACGCTTCTGTATTTTTTCAGACAACAGAGCTCTTTGAAATGTTGAAGTATGAACATTCGGTCTAGATTTTATAGGCAAACCAGAAATTTGTTAACCCATATTCATGTTGGTAGACAGAAGAAAGATAAAGATGATTTGCTTATGATTGCCTTTGATTGCCTGCTTCAACCTTCGTGTACACAACTCATACAAAACGAGAGGCAGGCTACAGTATACACCGTGACAGTTGATGACATCAATTTCTCGCGCCAAATACGATACAGGTCCCCTAGAGCAGTGGTATTCAACCTTTTTTGTTCGCGTACCCCCAGATATACTTTCTCTTCAACTTTATACCCCAAAAGTACCAGGTTGAAAACCACTGCCCTAGAGTACTGATGTTCAAGCACTCTTAGGTTTTCATATGGCATCGCCTGGCAACGACCCACGCTTCCGAACTAAACTTTGTTTCCCCAGGTTTTTATTTTTCTGTAGACTAAAAAACAGAAACCATTATACTTTCGTACAGTGCCCTTGAACTTCACCATATGCAAGTAGGCCTGTATTAGCTAGGGTAAAAACGGCAGTAATAGACAAAATCCATTACACATAATGAGAATAAACGACCATACTCCAATGTGGAGTAGGCGTATAGACCTACACGTTTGGTTCTAATTTAACGTTGATGTTAATTTGATGTAGATGAAAACGTTGTTTGCAGAACTAATGCAGTGATTACACACACACAAATAATATTTTCACAGGCACTGTAATTAGCAGAAATATTAAATTTCGGGTGTAAATTACTCTTCCCTGAACTAAGTTAAAAATAGGTTGTATCACGTGGAATACATCTGAAGTGGGTTTAGTGACATGCAGGCCTATATTTTTTTTGACATATCCTAGGCGCATTTGGAGCCTTACAGAGCGGCCGTTTAAATTCTTCTGTATGTCCTTATGTGTTAAAAAACTCGAGAAAGGCTGGATGGATTTTCAATACATTTGATACTAGAGAGTTTTACTAAAATTTGTAGATTTATTCCAGTTAGAATTAAAATCGTACAAAATTAATGGCTCCTTCACATGAAGACCTATACACGTTTGTTTTCACCCACGTGACTGGTGTGATGTCTGTAACCTACCTTAGCTATGAAGGATGTGGTAAGTATTATTAACTCTGTGTTAGGTGGAACTTCAAATTCTGGCGAAATTTACAGGGAGAAGTTGCGTATAGCGAAAACTTTTTTGTGTTCCCTTAACCACTCGTGACATAGCTCCTGCTTTATTACGTAACAATTGTTGTCCTGTAATTATTTCTAAAACATAAATATCTTATCAGACCTAACTGGTCGCCCTTGGGTGCTCTTTCTGCGTTTATCATTTGTCGTGTTAGATTTAAGTTGTGCATTTCTAAGCAAAAACTCGTGACTTTTGATTTTTACCGTGTCTACTGTGTAGAACGTAAAGATAATTTTGACATTTCTACTGATGTCTGATGTACATTGACAGGTTCACTCTACTTCCTATGTCACTAATTAGAATAAGCATAACTTAAGAAACAAATAAGAGAAATTGTTTATTACGGAGCATATATAACGTGTACTAACCACTAATTTGTTTTTTCGATTACTGTAAATACTTAAATAAGTAGATTAAATAATATGCCTTAATTTTTTCTGTGGTGACGGAGTTCAAGTTACGTAATAGAAACTTGTGCGATTTCTTCGCCAGATCTACGTCATAAGAAACAAAAAAAGTTTATAATAAGATAGCATACCATATTATAATCCATGAATCAATTCGTTGTCAAATATTAAAGTTCAAATAATAATTAGGTAGGTTACTAAATTCTTGGTCGAGATCTGAAGGTTTCTGACGATGGAACGTTATAATATGTAATTTTTACTTTGTCGATCGTCTTAGATTAAAAATAATAAAAAGAAGTTTTGGAAAATGGATTTACACAGCGTAACCGCGATGTAAAACGCTGCTACATGGCGGTTATGTCTGTAATTCAGTAGCAGTTTCTAAATAAAACGGACATGTCATTCACGGTCTACTTAGTAGCTTTAATGACACTGCATACTGTTATGAAACTAGTGTAAAGGCGTAGAATAAATTTAATTTACATCTTAAAGATGCGTTGTCATTTTTAATTACCACTATATTTTAAATGATATAACGATAATTTTGGTCCTCATATAAAGTAATTATTTTCACCGAATGTGACAAAGACAAATTTTTATCAGGCACGACGTTTCGGAGACTGGGTATGTTTCCGTCTCCAGGTATGTTTTACGTTAAGATAGAGACAGAATCCAGTCTCCGAAATTAAATTAATGTGATATATAATGTCTAAGAAATGTATTATTTTATTAATACACCATCGTCACAAACATTCAGATTTAATCAGAAAGTTCTTGTAAATAATAATTATCACTTAAGATGTTAGTTTTGTAGGATAAAATTATACGCTTATGTTACATTTTTTCGGTCACATATCAAATACCGCGTGATTAACACTACATCATATGTTATAGTATAATTACTAATCACGAAATGGAATCAAGAATAATGAATCAGAATTGCGGCGAAAGGAAGTGGTCGCGGGTTACTTTGAGACACTTTCCGGATTTTCTCTAACCGATACTGAGGAAAAACAAAGAATATTAGTCCTTGGCTGGTCTTCAAACCGTATAGGTCTGCTACTTCCAAAAGAACACGCATTCACCCACCGCACATGGTATCCTCGTAATCGAAGACGTTACCGTGATATGAATTCAAATGAAATCCGACCAGTAATGTTTAATGTAGCTTATGTTCATTAGGCATATGAATTTTAAACCAAGTTATATTGATTTAGGCATATTTATCTACATATCTGTGGTTCATTTAACGACGCTGACAGTAGCCCAGACCTGTGGCAATTGTCAAGACGATTTGAAGTAATGAATAATTAATTGTAAAAAAATGGAAGTAAATGGTAGTGCCCTAATTTAATCTACTATCACTGCGTTTCCCTGGAGGGACTGGGGAAAGCCACAAAGATATCGGTCACGACGAATCTCCGGGCTGATATTTTAACCTGGGATCTCTCGAATACAAAGCAGGAGTACGTATCACTAGACTGTGACGTTTTGTAAAATTTTACCCAAAACGTCAAGTTCTCTGTATACTGAAACACGCGGAGGACAGACGTTATCGCTGTTATGCGACAGGATCGTGCAAAGAACGTATAAAAATGTGGTAGTAGGCGGGAGATACTGAAAAACACCACGAAGAAAGTTGATGGGATGTTTGTTTCAAGCCCTACCTGGAAGGTTCTCTCGGAGGAGGTGGTTGTGGTCTGTGCTGGAGGCCTGACGGCGGGATGCGGATCAGAGTCCCAGCTGCTGCTGCTACAGCGCCCCTCTCCCTGCTGGTGCACGCGACTGCCGGGTGTCATTTGCGACTGGTCGTCTTCCTCTTTGAGCTCCTGCTCGCACAGGCTGGCCGGCGACCATATCCCCAGCGGCCGACGTGGCTTCGTGCAGAGGTTCAGAGGCAAATCGTCTTCAGCTGCGCAGTACAAATATGTGACTGTAGCGTTCGTCACCGTGCGCTTTGCCTGGTGTGAGTTCAAGTTCTCACGGTGCCTTCCGGGATGTAGCACCGTGTAATCTGGTAGAAATGGACCGATGAATCAGAGGTGTTTTACTGCTCATCATAAGGGCGGTGATCGTCTTGTGGCAGTAAGCACGTCTGAATCGTATGTCGGTTTCTACCAGACTACACCGTGCTACATCCCATTTTGCGTTGTTCTATTAAATATGCAGATTTGTTTTTATATATTTGTCTTTTATCCTTCATAATTCCTAGTTCGTTGAGTTAATAGTGAAACATAACATCTAATGTAACGTATTCGGGACGTTTTTAATCATATCTCGACGCTCATACTAATTATCCTGATTGAAAGTTACGTGGGTTTTATCAACCTTCCCCGACAAATACTGACATTAATGCTGCCTGTCTTAGTATTGAAACTGCTGTGCGCCTAGGTAGATGACTACTTCTGTTTGAAGGTAGAGTCAATTCTTCGATCATATACAGTATACGTTAAACAAGGCGTGCGCGTGATGTATCGGTGTTCGTAATAATGAAGATGCCTAATTTTAATTTTGAGAACAATGGATTTACAGAACGGTCGATCAGTTGAGCTAGTCACCCCAGTTGCTTCAATTCATTTAACATAATTAGTGATTTAATGAAAGCATACAAAGTAGCCTACTGATAATACCGGTCTGCAGTCTTCTTTTCAAACGTGTTGTCACTGTGTTAAGATAGGAATGGAATATGCATCTAATGACGCAATAACTAAGATGCACCAATGGCTTTAATACCGGAACCCTATATTACATAAAAATATTCCCGATAAGAATTTCTACAATTTAGTAAGTGTAGGCGACAGAAACACCGATAAGAAATTGCGATGTTTCTTAAAGTACGTTATGTGTTTAGGAAAGTAGCTGTGTACTCACCTAGTTTAGCCTTTTCAGGGGTGTGCCCTCTGTCCACAGAACCCGCACTTTCTGGGGACACTGCTTCTAGTGGTCGATGCAGATTGAGCGGGGAATATGGCAGGAAGAGCCCCGGTAATGGAGGCCACAGGTACGGGGGGTAGGCCACCGGTACTAGTGGGCTCAGTGGGCCCCCGCATAATAGCGCTCCTCCACCTGCAAAAAAATATTTTTGGTTTTATCAGACAAATTACAGTTGCAGGGTAACAGGATGAAATGAAAATTGCAATGTGAAAAAATTTTCTTGTAGACTTTGTTCTTTGTGTAAATTATAAAATTTCAGGCCCCCAAAGGGCCCAAGAGACAGGTTTTCTGCCCTCTTTTCCCCTTTTATCAGTTGAGAAAAGTAGAATCCAGGTTTGAAAACGTGCTTATGTGGTTGGACTATTATTTATTCTGCAGAACGTGTTAGTATGTGATCATTCACTTTACTAGGCAGATACTTCAGTGCCATCAAGGGCTAGGCAACTGTTGTCCTTTGTCGGGATATAGATTAATTTCTTGCAGCATGGTTTCTGTTATACGATACAAAGAAGTGTTACTTCCGAGCCAGAAGCAGACGAAACTTCTTCAACATGTAAAATGGATCACAAGGTCGAAAGGAACTTTTTAGATAATTACGAGGAAGTGTAACGGATTGAGGGGTACACAGCTTAAATTCTCGGTCCGGATGACACTCTCATGTTGTCTTACCTCTGACTGTCGCTGCGGCTTCCTTTACCCTGGCTTCGCGGGGCGATACAAGAGAGAAGGCGCTGCTGTGCTTGTCGGCGCCACAACGCGGTGGCGACGCCGAAGTACTGTGTGGTGACGGAGGCGGCTGGGAAGGCGGAGGACTGTAATTTGGAGGCGGCGCGGGAGGCGGTGACTCTACTGCACGTAGCGTCTTGATGAGGAATGACCGAGGCATAGCTTCTGTAAAATGAAACGTATGAAATTGGACCAAAACAAATGGAATTTACGTAAAATAGTTTCGTACTTTTCGCCTACATAGTTGTAAAGAGAACGTGTGTGAACTGAATTGTCTTTCTGATGTTGATGTTAGTCGTGTCATAGATGTTCGGGACTGAAGTTTGTTCCATGATGCATGACGTGCTGCTGTGAATTAATTACGCGTAAATAAGAAACCTTAATTACAATTAATTATTAATTATCATTCTCTTATTCGAAGCTGTAGAGTCTGAGCTACTGATAACGTCGTTAAATAAACTATAAATCAATAAAATTTAATTAAATTGCCTTTTAAATTATTACAATATACCGTAATGTTGTTAACGATATTGAATAACGAAAGGGAAAATGGGCTTAAAATTCAACACATTGAAAAGAAACAACGTGTGTTGTAAGACGTTTCTTAAAAGTTCTGTTAGAAGAGACCTAATGTAAGAAATGAGTATAAATTGGAAACCTATAATAAACTGATTGTTGGAAACGCGGACTGCAGTGTGAGGTTAATTGGTTTTGTTTAGGTTAGAGCATAATCATGAACTTATGTGGAGATTGTAATGAACAGTCTTGTTTCATAACACATTTCCTGACCATGTGAATAATTGCTATGTGCAATTCGCAAAACTAGACCTTGAAGCGAGCAAATAATTACTTTCTTTCTTCGATTACATACTTGAAAAATGTTCGTTCAGCATTGTAACTCGATACCTTCCATTATGCACAATTGTACAAAACGTAACCTTAAATACATAGTTAGACTTGTAGGGTATAATAAATTATGTCACAAAATTTTTAGGCATTCTTAGAACACAGTGATATACATAAATATATTTTTAACTTTAAAACAAATCTTCCTTTGTGTGGTTCACAATTTAACTGTGATGTATTCTGCTTCCTATCCGAAAAAATAAATAACAAAATAACGCAATTGGCTATCCAAGACTTAATCGTTCCCACAAAGTGTTTTGCTGACAACACCACAGCTCTCCAATCAGGGCACTGTATCATTCGTTCTCACGCTTTTCCTCAGTCTTTTCAACGCTAACTTCGTGATAGCCATTTAAAATATATTAGCACTATTTAATTTCCAGTCCTTGCCAATTTACTGTACAAAATTACTCAATCGTATGTTCGTCACTGAATTACGCCTGTCCTACGAACCAATAAATCGACAGCTCTAGTCGATACTAGGAAAGGGTACTGTGAAGCGGACATCTGGTGTGCTGTGTCAGATATGTTATTGCTGAGTAAGTACGAATGTAGGTGGTCAGTCTGTTGAGCAGAAATTGTCTGCTATCAGGAACTGTTTCACAGGACTGGTCTTGTTATCGTCAACAGTGCTTTCGTGAAGCCCAGTGAGACTGTTGACCTTTTTCGCCATGAATTTGTCTGTGTGCTGGCAACAGGAAGATTATTAAGTTTAAGTAGTTAAATAATTACTTAAGTCCATTATCAAACGTCTTCTTGATAATCCGATAATCGCTCAGATGGTCAAGAAATTCCTTCATCTTACAGGCCCCGAAATTTCTTCATGGTGTTCATAAGAACCTGCCACTTAACCCTATCCCGTCATGGAAGAAAACAGGATGGGGGGGGGGGGGCCTACTTTCTTTTCCTTGTATTTCTCCTCTTGAACCAACAGTGAACCTCACCACTCAGGCTTCAAATTTCTGATTGTAGCACTTTCCTTATTATGTGTGATGTTCCTAGTACGACTGTCTTTTGTAGAAAATCTGTTGAACGCTTTTTTGGCATTTATTCCAGATATTTTTAGTCGTTTAGTTACAATTTATTATTATTACTATTTCTATGTTTGCAGAGCGCCGCTTTGTTTCCTCGAAAATGTCGTCCGCAAACATCATGGCAGACTTCACTGTTTTTAAATCACAAAAGGGAGAAGCTACAATGTTATGTGGTAAGTCATTATCAGTATTTTGAATATTCATTATTTAAAGTTTTGTATTTACTTTTGAAAAGAGTTTTAATCAGCATTTTCTTTGTTTCCTTGTCGCTAGCTTGTTATGCCTATTTTTAGCATGTGACTTGGGGTGTATTCTGATAAATTGCGCTCTGTGGCATTGTGGATAAATACACGCGCGTATGCTTATGGCTTTTTCTATTTGATTTGAAAGATTTTTAATCCGATGTTGTTCGCATAATTTAAAATATTTCTGTCAGCATATTCGCATAGACCTATTTCCTGAGACATTATAAAGGGAATGATCGATAATGCGATAATAGCCAAAAAATAGCTTTTGCAGTCTCTTGATAACAAGAATAACAAACGCACAAACTCCTTGATTTTATAATAACTGGAAAAGAGCCAATTTAGTAGCCATTTTTACTACACTAATCACATAAGTCAATTCACGTAAGATCGGAAAGTAACAGATGTAGTTTACAGAGTCTATAACTTAAATATCAACTCTGAAAAATCAAATAGTCGTATTAAAATACAGATAAGTAAATGTTTGTGATGATTTTACAAGGTAAATCTCTAACTGTGCTTTAATTAGGCAGTAACCATAAAGACATATAGGGAGCGAAAATGTATTGATAATTCTAAACTAACTAACTCCCTGGTAGCAGAACTCGCAGATTCAACACTGACAACACCAAATCCCGCCACCGGCCACGATCCTGAGCCAGCTCCATCCATTTGTCATTCTCACAGCCCGCCTCCCTAAGATACATCTTGATGTCATCCTCCCATCTCCTTCTTGGTCTGCCCAGTGTTCGTTTTCTAGAAGAATTCCCTACCAAAATTCTGTATGCACCCCTTGCCTCGCATACGTGCTAACTGTCCGGGTCATGAGATTCTCCTAGATTTCGCTATCCTCACTGTGCTAGGTGACTTCACGCAGCTCCTTGTTATGTAATATTCTAAATTCTTCACTTATTTCATTGGTCCAAATATCCTCCTCAGCACATTTATTTGCAAACACTTGTAATCCACGTTCCTCCTTGAAGGTAAGAGACCACAATACTACTGTTTTAATTACGGCAGTAGATACACCCGTTTAATTAACTTCGGTAGCAATCGGACAGGAGGCTGGATGGTCTCAGAGACAGACTGGAAGCTGTGGTGGAGTAGAGAAAAATTCCAATTGCTGTCTGGAAACAAACACTTGCTTTCTAGCCATGAATGTGGCTGACTTTATCTTGGCTCCTGGTGCTTTTATAGAAACTAAAATAACCTGGTGTTTATTAAGTACCACGCTATATTGACGTATGGGGGAATTGAGATATAGCTCCACTCATTCTTGACTGTGCATTACGAGGAGGTTAGTGTTCTTCTTGACCACGGGGAAGTAACCTACGGTATAAATTTGATAGGACGCTGAATGTTGCATGATTCAAGTTGCCCGTAATTTTTACCATTCACCAGATATTAGGAGGTTAAGGTAATCAAATAGGGGAAAATTATATGGGCGGAACATGTAGCATGAATGTGGAGATGAAATTTTTATAAAGTATAGGTCAAAACTCCAGAAGGGAACACTTGAGAGATCCAGGTTTATTTAGGAGGATTTAAACGGACTGAGTATGTGAAGTTAAGTTGATCTGGCTCAAACTATGGTCCATTGGAAAGATCTAGTGAATACGATAATAAACTGTCGGGCTATGTAAAAGGCGAGGAATTTCTTCACCATTTTAGAAACTTCTGCCTTCTCCAGAAGGATTTTACTGTGCGGAGTTCAAGCTATGGTTTTTTGGGTTCTATTCGTTCCCCAACTTGTGGTTTATTTCTTGAGGACTCGAACAACGATTATCGCCAAATGCCTACTGAGTCGAGCAACTTTCCGCATGGATACTTCCCTTTTTGTTTATCTTAGATTATTGCCCACTCTTTGTGCAGAAAGTAAAGTTGCACTAACGTGATAGCGAACTTCGCTTGGGAAGTTCCAAAGCGCATTTCGAGCTCACAAGTACGAATTCAAGGCTGCTGTTTACGTATTCCTGGTTTTCCTTGCACCATACATTGAAGCCGCCCGAACTTACAGTTAAAAATTCGGCAAAAATTCTACCATTCTACACGGCACAACAATGCAGAAGGTAGCCATCTTCATAGCTCACTGTAGTTTGAAAATGAATTAAATTCTGTCCCTGGGGTACACGATGCTTTACGTGACAGTAGTATTGTATGTAGTGGACGGACAGACAGATCATCAGCACAGAATAGATTGTTATAGGGCTGGTTGTGGCAGCATGCAAGCCTACAATTGAACCAGTGCACACTATCAGCTTCTATCGACAGACCACTTATGTTACATTTTTATGTGGCGTGTCAACCCCATTTTTACACGAACTTTGTGTATAAAGTACAATATGTGTGAGTATACTTTCCTAACCGAGAATTAGGAAAGTGAACAGTAAATTGATCTAGTAGCTTGGGCAGGGTTGTACAATCCACATCTCTTGACCGTTAAACACTAACAATCGGAGTGTACTATAACAGTTTTTGTCCCATTTGGAAGCCAACCTGTTAACATCACTAGACAGTAGGCCTCCAGGGACTCTTGTTACATGAGTCTTCGCTGTCCGCGTATTCACATATCCGTGGTTTATTTCAGTATTGTGAGAAGCATCAATATTCTACTTATATCTTAATTGCATCATGCTTGTGTTTCAATACAATACTTTTATTTTCCGTCGTTTACACAAGCTTATTGTTAAAATCATATAAAATCATATAAAATTTCACATAAAATTGTTACATTTTAAAATTGACGACATGTTTCGATATACAATCTTATCATCGTCAGGTCTATCAAAATTAAAATTAAAATCTGGTGTATCTGTTGCTCTGCTTATATTGTTTTTGTTTTTACTCGTTTTTACTACATCTCCAGGCTTCTTCGATTTTATTTTTGGAGACGCGCCTGGGTGCCTATATCGGGTTGTGTATGAGGTGCGTGTCCGTTGTTATTGAATGGCAGACAGTTATATGATTTTATATGATTTTA